GTTTTCGGACACAGAATACAGCATTTTTTTCAGCGTTCGTTCAATGATATCCGAGGTGGATGTATCCAAAACTGAAACATTCAACTGATCCGTCAAGGATACCTTTTATAGCTCTTTATTGTTGCACATAACAAATAAATAGTAATACAAGTGTATCCGTTCATTTCTACACAAACCTGTAAACGTCCTGCTCACTAGGACTTTTCAAGGCTTGTCCGGTTCGCTATCAGAGTTATATTTTTATGTATTCGTTAACTCTTGTGTTTTAGATGACATAAAGGGAACTTTAGAAAGCTGAGTCATGCCTTCCTTAACCCAAGGGCACTTCACACATAGCTTGACACACTAACAATTATCGTTTAATATCTACGCGCTTATCATTCTATTTGTTACCACTATAGTGATACAAAATAGCATATTCATACACATACACAGGCGCATATACGATGTTGAGAAAACCTTCAAATATATATATACATATTTCTATATAGAATTGAATGAAAGGTTATTGAACCAATATGACTGTTTTTTCACTAACGTCACTCATCATCACGGATGTGTCAACCGTGAAGACTCTTTTGAATCTTGCCTGTTCCTGTTAACCTTCGAAAGAACACGTATTACATAATAAATAAACAGGGGCATCGTTTCAGAATGACAATCAGGAGTGACGACAGTTATGTTTAGTGGTTTATTAGAAATTAAAAAGGGATTTGTTTGTTGTTTTACCTATTCAATGTTACTCGACGTAAAGAACAAACAGATATTAATAAATAGCTTTCATACCCATGAAACAGAATGGAAATAACCTTGGGAGTGTACAGATGTATACATGGGCGTCCGCAGAAATGTCTTCAGGGGCGGAGTAGTGTGAAATTGTGAATTGAATAAAAAAATCATATACATATGCTTAATGAATAACGAAAGAGTTATGTTTCTCATTTTCCAGGTGGGGCAATTGTCCCCTCTCGTACCCCCTACGCTGCGGACGCCCAGGATCTATACACAGTCAGTTGGTTTGGTTGAAATGATGATGCAACGTTAAGCCACGTCCCTCTCAGGGATATTGACAATATTGTATGGGATAGCACAAGTATCGTTCTTTGCCTAGATACTAACTTTGTCATAATGCCATTTGTCGTTCTTTGCCTAGATACTAACTTTGTTATAGCCCCCCAGTGGCACAGCGGTATGTTTGCGAACTTACAACGCTAGAATCCGGGTTTCGATACCTGTGGTGGGTAGAACACAGATAGCCCATTGTGTAGCTTTGTGCTTAATTACAAACAAACATACTTTGTCATAATGCCATTTGTCGTTCTTTGCCTGGATACTAACTTTGTTATAATGCCATTTATCATTCTTTGCCTAGATACTAACTTTGTTATAATGCCATTTGTAGTTCTTTCCATAGATACTAACTTTGTTATAATGCCATTTATCATTCTTTGCCTAGATACTAACTTTGTTATAATGCCATTTGTAGTTCTTTCCATAGATACTAACTTTGTTATAATGCCATTTA